TTTGTTATTTCATATCGTAGAAATTCAATACCAAGAGACACAACCGATGTCCAGATCTGTGGGAGGGGGGAGCTTTTTAACTGAGCCCCGCAGTCCACAGTGTCACTTTTTCACTGAACTTTACAGGTTGCACAATTTGAAAAACAGTCATGAGAAGTGAAGAATATAAGACGAAGGTATTGCATCTATCAGCCTCTCAAGAACAACCACCATCCATTCAGAAGACTTGAACACAAATTGTATTGCTTGTACAGCCATAAGATAGACTAGGGATGACTGCTTAAGCAAGGATTGGTTGTTTTTCGAATCGAGAACAGCCGCATTGCCCCCCCCTCCCCCTGTATACCAAACCCAGTCATGTCACCAAAAAGATGCAAACACAGCATGTAAACTCCTTTTTAAGTGTCCAAACGCAGCTACATATGGAGAGCAGTCTCTAACGGGGACCATTAGAATGCCAAAGAAGAGGTTGCGTTCGTCGGGAGAGGTTTACTTTCGGTCTGACTTTCAAGTAGTGACTTCGAACAAAAAATTCACAAATGTCAACTGTGGGTATGACTTGGACCCCTTTCACCCTGGCCTCTATCGTCAGTGGTGACCTATGCATGAAGAAAAATTCGCCATATGATGAGAGCCGATTACAGGAATCGCCAGTCTCTGAAGATGGGTAACCAAAAACGTTACTCGAAACATCAAACCCAGAATAAACCTCCTCCGGTGAACGCCTCCTTCTGTTTTGACACAGGACCAGCTGGGAATGACACCTACTCTACTATTGACTTAGGAGGTCGTCGGGTAAACGAGCAAATCTGGGACACCAGTGCCATCGGGACCCCAGTGGAAGCTCACGTAATCCGTTCGGCCAACTTCCGCAGAAAGTGAATCTGCAGAGTGCCTCCAAAATGCACCCTTTAGAGGGCTAGTGCTCCAGCACGTTTGTCCTGTGTGCTTTGGCCCACAAATTGGGTGGCACTTAAACGTCAGGCCTAGAACGCAGACAAGAGTTTTTTTATCGGACAAGTGCCCTACTGAGGTTTG